GCCGCGGCGGGCGAAGCAGAGGCATCGTGGGGCTGCGGGGAGCTCCTGGCTTCCCCCCCAGCCTGTGGCAGACGCGTCTCAGCAGCTGACATCGTGTTGGAGATGCTCAGCAGCGTCGCCACGTCGGTCATGCAAGACACTGCACTCTGGAGGCTGGTTTGGAGGGACCCTCAGGGGCTGAGGCGATCGCTCGACTCTTGTGTCTGTCTGTGTGTTCTAATAGGAAGATACGCTACGGTTACTGGCACCAGGGTAGTAATGAATAAGCATTTTCTTTCTGCGTGTCTCTGTTAAGCTCCCTGACTCTCCGGGTACCACACACGGCGGCGAGGGACCTTGGTAGGAGGAGCAGACCAGTGCCACCAGCCCTGGACTACACTGGCACCGTAATCAATAGCGCCTTACTCCACCTGCCGCACCACATGGAGAGGGCACCATCCACTTTATACCAGTCGACATTACTATCTATCGCGTCCTTTGGGTTGGCATGTGTACGTGAGACACAATCTGAGGTTCCTTTATCACTTTCGACGTCTGAGCTTAAGCTGGAGTGCCGTGACGAGGCCAGAGTCATCAAGCTCTTCTTTCGAATATGACAAGGATTGGGCCGATGCAGTGCAAGCTTTCGTTGAACAGTATCACTTTAATTATAATATCTGTATTGTTTGATTTTTTTTATTCTTTTTTTACTCCGGGTTGAAAAAGATCACTTTATCGCCTGGCTGTGTTTGCACTTATCTTGTGTTTTCCGAATCGCCAACCAGCTAAAAATTCACCGGTAAAGATTTTTATAAAAGTGCCTTCACAAAGCTCTCTGCAGCACTATGACCGATGCTTTTTTGTTACACTTGCACCTACATTCCTCCAAAGGGACATTGCGAGTGACCGAGACGGGTTTAGTTAGCGGCGACGGAGGAGCCGAATGCACACACCTCTCTCTTCACTCCCCGAACGCACACTGCCAATATCGAAGGTTTGGCTCAGCCTGGCTCCGACACCCAGCCGCGCGTTGCCAAGTGCCACCATACACTCGTTTCCCCATTTCTCTTCCTGTTTATTTATCTTTCACTCGACATAGTCCATCGACGATAGATAAAAAAAAAGACAGGAACTTAAATCAAATTTTCTCTCTCTCTCTCTTTTGGGTATCACATTATAGAAATTAATTCAAGAAAAGGTCGTTTAAGGAAACCGCATAAACTCAATCATCAGTATTTACATTTTCGCTCTTCCTCCGCCATGCATTTCTGAAGCTGTGCTGAGAAGTTATGCGTATCTAACTCCCACATGTAACGTCCAACACATTCGAACTTCCTGACCTTCATGTCGATGTGCATATTACTGTTGTGCAAAGAATATCTAATTGGTTTTAATTGGACAACGATCTTTATTATGCTAACATCAATTTAAACTTGTCAGTTGACTCTCTCTTACACGTCTCACTCCATATATATATATATATATATATATATATATATATATATATATATATATATATATATATATATGTGTGTGTGTGTGTGTGTGTGTGTGTGTGTGTGTGGTGTAATATATATTCATATGTGTGTGTGTGAAAATGTGTAGATAAGCGCACACATACACACGCATATCTATCTATCTATCTATCTATATATATATATATATATATATATATAAATGTGTGCGTGTGTGTGTGTGAATATATATGTATATATATACTATGGATGTTTGTCTATATATATAATATATATATATATATATACTGTATATATATTGTGCATGTGTGTGTATGCATACAATATGTATGTATATGTACATATATATGTGTGTGTGTATGTATGTTTATGTGTGCATATACAATATATATATATATATACATACTCATATATACATATGTGTGTAAGTGCGTGTGTGTGTATACATGTACACACATACATATATACATATAAATATATATGTATGTATGTATATATACATATACACACTTTGTGTAAGTAGACACATACACACACGCACATCAAAATACGTTTACTTCAATGGGAATCTTCCAGGCATTGACCGAGCATGAATATCAGGACTTTTGAGAAATATGGATCATGCATGCTTCATTCCGAGCATTAATTAGATGGAACATGAAACGTGACCAGTGATGGAACAATCTGATGTTAAATTTCCTTTAAGTGAAAATAAATCATAAGATCTGAATTATCTAGGATTGGTTATCATTGTCATTCGCATCCTAAAAAGATCGTTAAGGATAATTTGATTTACTAACATCCATTTCAAATTTGAATGACTCCAGGTTCACAATTAGCAAAAAAATATAATCTAAATGACATAAAAATATAATATTCTAAATGACATAAAAAATATATAATATTCTAAATGTAAATGACATCAAAAAAATATATTCTACTTGACATCAAAAAATATAATATTCTAAATGACATCCTAAATGACATATATAATATTCTAAATGAAATGACATAAAAAATATATTCTAAATGACATCCTAAATGACAATATTCTAAATGATTTCTAAATGACATCAAAAAATATATTCTAAATGACATCAAAAAATATAATATTCTAAATGCTAAATGACATAAAAAATATAATATTCTAAATGACATCAAAAAATATTATGTTCTAAATGACATCAAAAATTATAATATTTTAAATATCAAAAATATAATATTCTAAATGACATCAAAAAATATTTCTAAATGACATAAAAAATATAGTATTCTAAATGACATCAAAAAAAATATATTCTAAATGACATAAAAAATTATAATATTCTAAATGACACCAAAAAATATAATATTCTAAATGACATAAAAAAAATATAATATTCTAAATGACCAAAAATATTTCTTAATGACATCAAAAAATATAATATTCTAAATGACATAAAAAATATATTCTAAATGACATAAGAAATAATATAATATTCTAAATGACATCAAAAAATATAATATTCTAAATGACAAAAAAAAATATTCTGAATGACATAAAAAATATAACATTCTAAATGACATAAAAGAATATATTCTAAATGACATCAAAAAAATATAACATTCTAAATGACATCAAAAATAAATATTCTAAATGACATCAAAAAATATTTCTAAATGACATCAAAAAAATATAATATTCTAAATGACATCAAAAAATATAATATTCTAAATGACATCAAAAATAATATTCTAAATGACATAAAAAAATATAATATTCTAAATGACATCAAAAAATATAATATTCTAAATGACAAAAAAATATAAATATTCTAAATGACATAAAAAAATATAATACTAAATGACATAAAAAATATAATAAAATGATATTCTAAATGACATCATATAAATATATTCTAAAATGACATAAAAAATAATTCTAAATGACATAAAAAAAATATATATTCTAAATGACATTAAAAAATAATATTCTAAATGACATCAAAAAATATAATATTCTAAATGACATAAAAAAATATAATATTCTAAATGACATAAAAAAATATATTCTAAATGACATCAAAATGTAATTTTCTAAAATGACACAAAGAAATATAATATTCTAAATGACATCACATAAATAATTCTAAATAATATAATATTCTAAATGAAATATAATATTCTAAATGACCAAAAAATATTTCTAAATGACATAAAAAAAATATAATATTCTAAATGACATCAAAAAATATTTCTAAATGACACCAAGAAATATAATTTCTAAATGACAAAAAATATAATAGTCTAAATGACATCAATAGCCATTAGAATACGTGGCTCCTTCGTTATCTAAAACTTCAAGGCTGACCTTTCGCTAATGAGGAAGACAGACCTGCAAAACTCTACGGGGATACAACACCATATTTGGGACCATGATTTATGACTTTGCTTTGGTAAGTGCGATCAGGTATGGATTATCTTACATCTGCCAGCATACATATTACGTCTAAGATCATTAGATTAGAAACTGCGAATGAGGCCGCGTGAATAATTTAAAAAAAAGGGAACACTGGGAACACGAGGACACTGAATATGCCGGCCATTTATGAAGGAATAATGCACATTAATGTTCTATATTTGGCTTCGAGTCCAGTACTGGAGTGTATCCGGCTTCTCGAGTCCCAAAGACAACTCGTAGGATGCTTTATCGGGTAAACGCGGGTAGCACTGACAGCCAATTTCCTGGTACGTGGGTATAAGAAGTTGTGAAGGGGGTAACGTGCCCAAATTTAACCCTTCTTGAGGTCTCCGGGACGCCGTTGGCACCACACTGGAAAATCCCTTATATAAGTGTTCCCAAACTTTATGGCTTTATACCGCAGACAGTAAAAAAAAATCTAGGGGTGTAAGACGATTGGTATCAGTGCTGTGCTCCTTGGTCCGTACAAACAGGAAATAAAGTAGGTTGTACTTGCATTATATATAAAGTTAATGTTTCAAAAAGCCTGAGGTTCTAAGGCTGGGACAGTGCTACACAAACTGAACTGGCATACTCTTAAATACTCCTAAACCTTGGTAATTTGTCGCCCATTGTCCGTTTAGTTTGTTAGTTTATTATTGTTTCATAAAGCCGGTGATTCTAAGACTGGGTTAGTGCTGCAAAAACTGAACTGGCATACTCTTAAATACTCCTAAACCTTGGTTATTTGTCGCCCATTATGCTTGTCCGTCTAGTTTGTTTATTGTCGACCCTGTGTAATGATGTTCGAATTGGTACACATTGTTCCGTAGAACGTATTTGCATCATATGAACTTCCCGTGAGGATTCCTACGAAAGTGTGAATCCCAAGCATGGCTAAACAGGGTCGGTTGCAATAAAGCCTCTTGCCAGAATCTTAAGAATTCTCATTATCTTGAGCTAAGGAAAGTGCTGGTAATTGCAAGGTAACAATAAGCCAAGCATGCAATATCTACTCCAAGATATGTATACGATACTATTCACCAATACAGTCGATAATACAAATTGCAAAGCCTTTGTGATATCAAAACTCACCCCTTTGTGCT